GTAAACATTTTTTAATTCATAACCAATACTCAGATAAATCGACAAAAATAAAAACATAGTTAACATCTTTTTAATGGAAATATTTTATGAATTTTAAATTATGTTAGATTTATAAAATCTCACTTTTTATGAGAATCGATGAAATTATATAAATTTTAAAATAAAAATACAAAACAACTTTTTTAGTGAATACAAAAGTCAATCAACTAAACGAGTAGTTTTCAAGAAAAGCAAAACTGGAATTTCAGTCTTCTTTTACTGTTATTATAGTTGTAGTGAAGAATACAATGAAAATATAAATTCAAAACACAATAATACAAATTTTACTTTAAATTCATTCACTCATCAAATTATTTCAAATCTTGTTCTCAATCTCTTGTTGTCATCATTTGAATAGAAATTAATTTACAATAAAGACATTCGTTAACAAATCAATATAAATGCGCGCTTTCTCTCCAAACATCTTATTATTGGGCACAAAGTCTTTGTTATTGGGTTAGAGTCTAGAGACACAAGAGGTTTGCTTTAATCCAATCTGGAAAACATACTTTCTTTTGCTACTAATCCACTATAAGAAAAGTAACCAACTTGAATTACTAAGTGTTAAATGAACCTCATTTCGCACTAAATTATACTCATTTTATTTATTACAGTACAGTGTACATTAAGCAATTTAATTTTATTAAATAACCATGTTTGTTTTACCAAAACAACTAATGATATAAATTGAATCATTGAAATAACAAATAATTGTAAATTTTATCATTTATAGTATAACTTCTAATTCAGTCTCTGAAATACTTATTCCGCGAAAATTAACTTTTATTTTTTTTAACTCAAATTTCTTTTCCTATCCGTTATAAATGCCATAAAATTTAAATATTTCTATAAATAAGAGCAAAGCATTAAACTTACGGTCCATTTGACCCTTTTATCTATGGATTTGACACATATTCTCCTCTAATGTATTGTATTCAAGACATCTTATTTATAAATGCATTCGTTATTATAGCTTACAATGTGTTGATAATTGTTGTGATCCTCATATCAGATGAATGTTGTCCTCAATCTTTAATTTGAAATTATTTTAAAAGTAATTCAAACTTTTATCGCATTATACAGTATTCCCGGGCTATAAGTGAAATGCCATAAAAATATCAAAAATATCTTATAACAAATTTGTAAAAAGTTTGTATTGTTTAAAATATTGTTTACAACATTAATTTAATATTCATTTTATTTTGAAAACAAAATGAATTAATGAGCAGTTACTTGGTTAAATTCATATATAATTATTTATTCTCGTTGTTAAAAGATTTTAGTTACATATTTTATATTATATAAATTATATAAGTTATATATTTTTCATCAACTGAATTTCGAAATGTAAAAAACCCCATTGGTCTAATAAATATCAATTAAAACAAAAACTGTCATGTACTATCAAATACAAATAGTTTATTATGCCCATGCTTATACTTAAAATAATTTTCATTTGATTTGTTTCTTTGTTCTTCAAGAACTTCTTGTATTTTATTCACAATTCTTATTTATTATCACGTATTTCTTACAAATGCCTGCAATTTCAATAATTAAATCAAAAAACCATTTATAATAAATATTCAATATTGTATCAAAACATTTCTAAACATTGGTTACACAAATGCCTTACAGTATTACCGCATATACCATAGGTATATAAATATAACTCGGTTTACACACTCGGTGTTAAACTGTAATTGGATATGTGGTTACATTAGTTTTTAACACTTCATTTTAACTATTTTTTGAACAAAACTTAAAAAGGCGCAAACTATTTAGACTTAATTAATATTTATAAATATATTAGTTCCCTTCAAATTTATATCTTCCGAGAAATTCCCATATTTTGGGAGGGAAGATATTGGGAAAATGCAAATCTTCCCAAAAGTGTTCGACATGAAGTATACAGTATGTGGTGAAATCTAACGCTTAGGTCATTTGCCCTATTCTAGTCCCTCTCTCACGTAATTCCCAACGCATTGGCAGTCATCGCAAGCCTTAACCCTTCAGAGCGTTTTGGGTGGACAGCCATTCGCGGCGTCTCTTCACACCTAAATCCCGTTAAACCCGAACCCATATTATCAATAAAATATCGTTTTTGTCAACACTCGGCCTACCGTTCATCCAAAGGGTATCATATAAACAGCAAAAACAGTAAAATTAATGCTTAAACAGTTGAATATTTAATGTGAGACACAATTTGGAGACATTTTCATCATTCAAATGTTAATTAATTACAATTTTAAGAATAGTTGATTCAATTTTATGCGCTTTTTATATAAGGGATGTACAGTATATCAGTATATGGGGTATAATGTTGGTAGATTATGACTCATTCACATATAGTTGCAACGCTATGCGGGAATTACGGTAATTACTGTACTATATTTTGATAGCATTTGTGGTTAACATAGATTTGATTGCTTTGATTGCTATAAGAATGGATGCAATGGTTTTGATGTGTGAAGTGATCATTGGATGGACTGATAGTGAATGTGACTCTTATTTGGAATCCTTTTGTCTTTGAATCCAATCGTTATTNGTTAACATAGATTTGATTGCTTTGATTGCTATAAGAATGGATGCAATGGTTTTGATGTGTGAAGTGATCATTGGATGGACTGATAGTGAATGTGACTCTTATTTGGAATCCTTTTGTCTTTGAATCCAATCGTTATTTACGGCACTCTTTTGGATGTCTTCCATAAACTGCTCGTTATTTTGCTTTTCATTTCTTCTAAAACTCGGATTATTTGGATATTTCTGTTATAAGAGTGAAGACATTGTGAGCATTGAATGCTTGGTTAGGATGTGCTGTGTGTATTGCCTGTGTTGTAGACCTGTTGATAGTGTCGTGTTTTGTGCACATCTGAAGGCATGGACACAAAGCCGACGGCCAGTGCTATCATCGTTGGGATAGAGATCGCCATTAAGAAGCCATTCTTCGTGACCGGCATTTCAACACAATTACTGTTCACTACAAACAATACTTTCACAACAAATCATATGATTTTTGTTTACATTTCAAACATTGCAAAGTTGTGTCCATAAAGTACTACTTTTATTACATTTACGTTTATTTCATTCATTTATGGCATTATTTAATGAACTTTTCGTTTAATGGTTTAAATATATATTTTTAAAATACAACAAAATCGAGTTTCAGAGTCCGACTATTTATTAGTTATCGACTATTTTATTATAATATTAATAATTTATTAATAAACTTATATAATTAAGCAAATAATTCAAATAAATGCAAAACATATCGATATTTATCAACTTTATTAATATTTTATGTGAAATTATCACATTTTGAATTCAAACTATAATCGCATACAAGTACTCAGTTTTCAAACCCCATATTAAGTGTCAAAATTACATGATTGCTATTTAACTAATTTTGTAAAATTAAATAAATTTAAAATTATACGAATTTCATGTCATTATTGTAATTACATAACTGTATTGAGTATAAGAAGTTTACTTAAGATGTCTTTACAAGTTATGTGTAGCTTTAGATGTAACCTTAATTGTGAACAATCTATTTTATTCTAATAATTGAATTTTAAACAACAGCACAATTCTCTAAAACAATGCATAGAAACAAAGGACCAGGGTGTTTGTCCCATTTTCTTAGACTACTCACACGTCTGTTATCCACTTTATGTCTAAACAAAACCATAACTTGAATTCCAGTCACCTATTGATCAATTAATGGCATTAATAACAGATGAATAATAAGTATTTGTTTATACTTCAGGAAAATCATTGGAGACATCAAATTGTGATAATGAGTTGTAGATATGATTAGCTTTGATACCATTTGACAGACAGTTGGGTGCGGCCACAGAACTATCATTTTGTACATCACTTGATACACATTCGGTGTCAGCGGACAGACAGTTAGACGACGAAGGAATGGTATTATTGGAGACATCAATATCTGGTTGAATAGTTTGATTCAAACTATACATAGTATTGCACGGATTGATTGTATTTCCATAAGGAATCCGAACAAACTTTCCCAACGAAGACATATACATCTTCGCTATGATTCCCCTCTCTATTTCAGGCGAATCGGCCAATGATTCTGTTCAACACAAACAAGCAATCATTAAATCAGACTTTATTATCGATTGTATTGAAAACTAATGAATACTAAATGTGATGTTAAGTAGAGGTGATGTTCCCCTTACGAAACGACATTCGCTATCATTTCGCGTACAATTAGTCACAAACACTGAGATATCTTCGGATTTGGTCGCAATAACGGATCCATTTTCGTCTGCAAACATAAAAATAGTTTATGACAACCAATCGATCAGATTTATAAGATTAACACTTTTCAAAGGCATTCTCTAACACTTAACACAATTAGTGAATTAAATAATTAATTGAATGTATGGATACTGTTTTAAGTGATCATAGTTAGTGGTAAAATAGACATACATGTACATTGAGACCAATTGGCTTCAATCTCTTGTCCACAAGAGTAATAAATGAGAACTAATGTACAAAAACTAAATAATAATTTACAAAACATTTTTAAATTTAATGAGATTTCATTTAAAAGAAATAAAAGGAAAATAAAATTATGATTTTGTAAATGGAATACAAAATCAAGAAATGTTGTAATTTTATAGTAAAACTGATATTAACATTAGATTTTGATTTATTATCGCAATAACTAATACACAAACTATGATTAGAGAAGCCAACAATTTCTTGTTTAAATACTTTCGGTTCAATGCATGCTATTTATGCGACTACGGTATCAAAACTTAAATAACTGCCGATAAGGCATACAATTACTGATTAATTCATTCAAATGACAATTAATATAAAATGTTGTTTGAAAACATTAAAGCTCTTATAAGCTCTCATATATCGATTAATATTGTAAATCACGTTTAAAATGTTGTTAATATCGTTATCTCTTTTTTTGTTAATTGAAAAATATATTTGTAGTTTCTAACAGTAAATCAATGGACATGATATGAAATGCACCACATGTTCATCACAAGCAATTTATTTAAATTATTTGATTAATTACTTGACAAGTATTGATATTGAAAATGACAAAATTAAAAGTGCGCTCAAATTTGATAACAAAATTTATTACAAAATTACAATATATTTGCAAATAATTCAAAGATTGCCATTAAATTGAATTCACTTTTATTCAATGATTTTAATGAAGTTAAGGGATAATATAAGTCCATTATATGATAGAATGCAGCCTTAATTTAGTGATAGCAACATTTGATGATTCAATTAAATTATTATTTACTTAAAGCTCATACTCTATACCTATATTCAAAATTAATAAACTTTTCGTATAAACACTTCAAATATCTATAAATCAAAGAAAACAAAGAATTTCTTTCTATTCGTTAAATTGTAAACAGATATGAAATGAATGGAAAGTCTATACAACTGTACTATTTCTACAACTTTCAAAACATTCAAATTGAAATTACATTTAAATAATTGCAAATGACTTATTGACAATAAGTTATTGTCAAGGAGTACATGTAAAGCCTATATTAGCCTATATTTAAATATTAATTAATACAAGTCTATGGACATGACATTTAATTGACATTAATTAATTATAATATTTATTTGACATAAATGCAATGAATATATAAAATGATGGAATTTCTTCATATTATGGAAATTTATAATACAATAGTTATTAGTAAAATATATGCGATTATCTTTGGTAATGAGTCAACTCTTATACAACTCCACAAATAAATTTGAAGAAATTAAATTTAGAAAACATTAAATATTATATACTATATATTTCATTACAATACAAATGACTTTATTTCAGATGATTGACCATTTTATCCAATATAATATACCGTCATAAGATTTATGAGATCCATAACTGGACTAACTTTAATATATTAACTAACTAACTTTAATAATGTACAGTATATTATGTAAGTTCAGAATGTTTTGACTTTAAATCAAACATTTGAAAGTAAACATTGTTTGAATTCAATCATTGAATTGCAATGTTTATTAAATCTAATTTTAAAGATAGTTGGGTTTTGTAACCCTCATAAATGATATTGCCTTAATTAAGGCGATTCATACATTTAATTATATTTACCATCATATTGTGTTAATCATTTTTATAATTGAATATTTTAATTTATCGCAAGGTTTTAGACCAAACATGAATTAATACAATAAAAACATTTATTAGTTATAATTAAGCAAATCATTCAAATAAATACAAAATAATTTTAATGTCTCTGTTTTAATATTTTATAAGACAATTATAAGATTACAATTTTCACATATTTTATACAATTGATTAATTAGTTTTAATTTTACACATATTTGAAACATATATGCAATTATTGTACAAATTATACAAATTCTAAAATTCAATTCAATTGTTTTTTATTACACATTAAAAATTCTAACCACAAAAATATACCAATTGTTTTGTTTTTAATGTATTTCTTATAAAATTTAAATAATTATTTTATACAATATATTAATAACTAAACTTCTAATTAATAAAAATTGTTGAGAATATATTGTTGTTTTGTTATATTTTTCTTACAAAATATATTCATTTAAATAATAATTTATTATAATTTATAAAACAATTGTAATATAATTAAGAGATAAAACAGATTTTTCTCAAGACTCAAATTTTTCCAACAATTCATTTATGGTTGATATCAATCGCTCACAACCGCTATCAGTACTTCCGATAGACTCACACTCACTGCTGCTGTCACTGGTGTCCAAATTATTATGAGTTTCACCACTTCCGGTACCAGAAGCCGGCTCTGTATCGGACGTGTCGTCTTTGGTTTTGCGTCTCTTTTGCGGGGTTTCGCCTATAAGTCAATCACAACACAAGTGTTACACAAGACAATCCATTATCACAACCAATGCATTCCCAAAGCTATACCTGATTCACATTTACTCCTCTCAACGCACTTATCCTTTAATTTCTTCAGTGTTTCACAAAATTGTTTCAACAAATCGTCGCCTAAATTGTTAGGCATTTGAACCATAAATACTAAATAAACAGCTCTTAAGTCCTATTAATAAAAAAATTAATTTATAAATATATCACTTTGTTTGACAAAATAAGTGTTTAGTTTATACTCCATTTAATTGCATCGATTGCTTATTGATGTCCAATGTATTAAACATTTGACAAAACGCTTTAATCAACGTTAAAACTTGTGTCATAAGCGTTAAAGTTATTATACTTTTTTGAATCTAAGAAAAAAATCGATTATAAGTAATGTTTGATATAAATAGTAAAAATATAGGCAATCATTACTTTCGGTAAATACTGTTTCAAGAGTTGGTAAGTGAGCTCATTGTTGAGAAAATGTCGTTCTTGTGTCAACACTAATGAGACATAATCTCGAAAATAAGAAGTCGAACACAGATTTTCAACAAAGCTCTTGGATTCGTCGGATTCCACATTAATTAAGTCGAAAAATAGTTTTGGAAATATATTTGAGTTGAAATTAAGGCTTTCGAGAGCAGCGGCAGAACCTATGCGTTAAAATGTCATTCAATTTAAATTCACATTAAATAGATGTTAAATGATTGAAATGAGTAGACATACAGAGGCCAACCAAATCGCTTGAAACCAATGAGTTCTGGATAGCTGTCCGACATATAGAGTCAATAAATTGATAATAGGGCTCAAAGTAGTCGGCAATCGCCCGGTCATAGTCTTTATCGATGCCTTTTCCGCATTCAAGCATTTTTGGATTGAAACACATTTGAAAGAGTGGTCGCGAAGGTCTGACACTAGACTTTGTTAACATTACTCGTTGTCCACGACGAGGAAAGTATGGCCCGGGAATGACTGTTCAAATAAGCACATAATGCATAGTATATACATTTTAAACAATCAATTATATGACATACATGTGTGGCTCTGTTCAGCACAACTGATATGTTGTAAACCCAAAAGTTGAACCAAAAGTGGTAAAAATTCTTTGGCGTATATTTTAATCATTTCGGTTAAAACGTCTGCAAATTGAAAACATTGTTAAAATGTGTTGATATAATGTTTGTCAATACCTAAACATGCGGTGCGAACGGGAGATGGAGTGTACGAATTGACGAGAAGTATATTTTTGCGCATAACGTCCGCCTGATCTCTCCAACTATTCTTCACAGCCCTGAGCGGCGATTGACCACAACTCTGACCTAAAGTACGCAACAATTGGACGATAATCTTCAGCAACTCAACCAATTCGGTGGTGATATGACAAGCAGTCGCCTCATGAAACATAAGATACATGGCGTGAAAAGCCTGAAACAAACTCGTCAGTCCGTTGTTGGCCAACACAAACAGACGGTCCTCTTCTGTCTCGCAAAGTATAGAGAGAGCACTGATCAATGTCTGCCATGAACTGCGAGCGTCCACTGAAGTCAAATACATTTGTATTGTTATGCGTTTAAAGTGTGTAATATCTCTGAGCTCTTGTTCAGTAGTGTCGGGATATGTGGTGACAAAAATTTTCATCAGTTTTAACAACTCCTGTACAGCCATTGGGTATTGAGTGATATAGGGTGTGATGTTCTTGAAGGCCCACTGAATGTTCTGATGCATCGCTAGGTGTCGAGTAAAGGGTCGGGACTGTTGGCAACACAGACGGAGCAGACCGTAATAGTTGGGAAGCATTAGTTTATTAAAAAACACCACTTCCTGGTCGTCGTGATCGGCCAGAATATAGTTAAACGCTATATTTTTGGTCACGTGAGGCGACTGAACAATGCATTTGATATTCTCGGGGCAGTCCTGACACGCCATATACCAGTACATAAGGAGCGCCTGTTTGTTCTGGTGGATAGCAATGGCCGGTTCACTAAGTTTTGGTTGAAATAGATTCCACAAGTCGTTAAAGTATGGCACAAGTAGTAGTTTCTGGCGCTGAGATATCAGACAATATGACAACACTATGAAATATGAGGTCAATTTTTGAGTGCCATGTGTTTGGGGGTCGGCGTACTGTTTGACACGCTTTAGTAATTGAAGCAAAATATTGTATATTTGATCGACTATTATAACGGCTTCACTGCTGAAGTCATATTCCTTGACTCCTGTGTATGGGAAGGGACGGGAGGGCCGATAGTTTTGCCGAAAACTATTGTTAGGAACTAATGAAATGAGAAGTTGTGCCGCATTTGAACGAACTCTCATGTTTGAGTGCGTGACCAGAAAGTAAAGGATCCACGAATCCATCGATTGCAAGACCCAAGCATTGGCCACTTTATTGCGAGGAACCTGTCCTGTAAGCCATTCCAGTGTTTGCAATGGTGTCTGCTCTGCAATCTCCCAAATTCGCGGTAATATTAAGTTTGAAAATGGTTGCAAACCGGGGGTTATTCCTACACACAGTTAACATACATTATTAAACAATTCATTATAAACACATTTTCATATCAATGCTATACTGCAATCTCCCAAATTCGCGGTAATATTAAGTTTGAAAATGGTTGCAAACCGGGGGTTATTCCTACACACAGTTAACATACATTATTAAACAATTCATTATAAACACATTTTCATATCAATGCTATATTTAACAACATATTTACCGATTTCTACGAGCATTGATAATATCTTAAAGAAAGGACCGCTTGAGTCGGGAATTCGTGTGATTGATGTAAACATCATATTAATGATAAGGAGTGAGAAGTGATCGTTCCATCGACACAAAGNAACATATTTACCGATTTCTACGAGCATTGATAATATCTTAAAGAAAGGACCGCTTGAGTCGGGAATTCGTGTGATTGATGTAAACATCATATTAATGATAAGGAGTGAGAAGTGATCGTTCCATCGACACAAAGAACAGATCAAATTACAGGTTTGCCTCAGATTTATGTTATCTCTGATTTGTTGCTGAAGAAATGGGAATGACTTTCCGCTAGCAATCGACTCATAGTCTCGATCTGATAACCGAAGTCTATTGTCTTTGCCTCTAGACTTCTCCACAAGAAGTGCCACTAATGTAATCATTTTGTCTAAAGAGGCGGGTTTAGGGAATTTGTCGTCCATAACGGGTCCCACAGTGTGTGACATCTTTTGGTTGTAGGGATGAGCGCCGGAAAAGCCGGGATTATTTGGCGGACCGTTAGTGTCATTATAGCCGTCCTCTTCCTCATCGTCTTCATCTTCAGACATCACTTCTACGTAATCGTTAGCACTCTTACCGCAGAGTCCCATATAGAAGGACACGACAGTAGAGATGGCCTCAACGGCTAACAAGAATTTGCATTCTTCGTCGCCTTGTTTTGCAAACTCACATAAAAAGGCAAAATATTCGGTCAGATGTTTGAGGTGTGGCTTTGCGTTCAGATTCTCAATACTAATTAATGACAACAGTTTGCGTATAAACCGAGTCACACACGAAAAGCGGCCGACATGTGTGAGCACTTCCAAGTCATTTGAGTCGTCGCTATCGTCGCTCAAAGGCTGTAGATATAGAGGCGCTTGTGTTGGCTTGAGTTGAGAGATAACATGAATGCAAAGACGTTGGAACAGTTGGCGCACCATTTGGTTAGAACAACGTAACAGTATCTGTATTGGCCACCAATCATCTTCTGCCAAGTGATCCATAAGCCATTCACACGCCTGTTGTGACGAATTAAACTGTTTTGTCAACAATTCAATCCAATTAGCAATCGTTGGTTTCTCTTTGGCGTGAATCAGTGTTTCCAACACAAAACTTGTGGCCAATCGAGCAGACAGTAGAGTCACTTTAGGTGATGATTGATTGGTGGGCAAAGTCTGAGGGATATAACCGCATATTTGCCACATGAAGTCGAAGTACGTGTGCTCGAAGATCGACTTGTCTCTCAAAAACGAGATGTTGTCATCACATATCCATTCGGACAAATCGGGTGCCAATTGAACAGTTGATATCACTTTCTCTTCGAGAATCGAGTCTTTCTTATCAATTCGTTCATAGAATAGCATATAAGCAGAGTTTGTCTTCTCAAACGAAAAGTCCATAAACTTGTCGGTCACCTAAACATTGGAAAACAAATTTTGGAAAACTATACATCAAATGATTAGACGCTTAGACAATACCTGATCATATGTTTTGCTCGTCATTTCGCCACCAAAACATTCGGTCGCTATTTGTGTTTTATCAAAGGGTTTCACTTCGGCGTCATTAAACAAATACCACTTGTCCTGAGCGCCGGGACTAATGGATTCGCGCTCCCGTATGAATGAATAGTAGTGTCCGCCGTCAGCGGTTCCCGTGTGAACAGTAACGCCAATCAGCATGTATTCAGTGCTGGTCTCGGGTTCCGAAAGTCCCTCCACTACTCCTGTGCCCGACTCTTGATCGGTGGCCATCATCTCATCCGAACCAGACTTATAGTCTGTATCCTTGCCTTTGGCTTTAATGAGATTCTTCTCCAAATATGGAGCCATATCTAACTGATAGGGAAACGAGAAGTGTGTGTTCACCTTCTCCTTAGTCATTGTAACCATATTGAAAGTATAGCGCATTGTATTAAAACACAAGATTTTTGGCAATTTCTTAATACAAGCCCTCTTCTCGGCCCGAACCTAATCGATACAAAATGTCAATTTTAAACATTCAATTCAATGCCATTTCAACACTTACTTTGCGTCCACAACGGGAACAATTGTACATATTGTCGCCTTCGAGCGTATCCTTCACAGTAATCTCATCGAGCGATTCATTCAAGTTTCTCATGTCCGACACCTGACACCTCAATGTGTAGAACTCTTCAGTGGTTTGTGAGATATGTGGGCAGTCGAGTGACACCACATTGTTAGATAAGGAGCCACTGAATAGGCGTTTCACCAAATCCTTCAATTCTTGAGTCATTTCTTCGAGTTTACTAATGAGATCAGTGAAGAACTCAGTCATGTCTTTCTGTTCTCCAGTATTGAGCGGCTGGTGATCCATAGTATAGACTTTGCAAAAGCTCTTTGGGTTATACGCTTTGCGCTCCGATTCGAGCAAAAACACAAACATTTTCTGCAATTCCTTTAATATAGAGTCGTGTTTGACAACAGACGTCAAGTTTGTGGACAAAATGATATACCGGGCCTCAGGCATCATATATAAGTGTTGCATACATGACGCCATATAACAGGTCGCACCCAAATT